ACCCACACACACACAGATGCGTGCATGCATACAAGAGCGGATATGCATCTTCGTGATGCATTCATGCCCATTATTATTATTATCGCCCTTCTCTTGCAGCTTTATATGACCCTGGCGCCTCCATTCCTGCCACCCCCCGTCAGTTACCCCCGCCCGTGAGCTACAGGCACCCAAAGACCACACATGCCTGCTCGCTTAGCAATCCTCGCCCTGAAAGGCAGGGAAAAGTTCCTGAAGGGACTTGTTCGCCTTGGCGTGGCGGGATTCCAAGTGCTGCTGCAGCTCCGGGAGCCGTACCGTCCGCGGAAACCCCTGCAGGCAAACTGTGCACTGCACGGCCGTCTTTGATTCCTCGTGCTTTTTTCGATCCTCTGCCGAGTGGGCGGTGCCTTGCTTCTGCTGCTTGGCCTGCTCCCGCGCACGACGCTGAGTGGCACGGCAACCGTTACCAGAAGGCATACTCTCTTTCTTTCGTTCCCTTTCACTGCGTGGTTGTGCGTTTCCCTTTTGCTCCTTCTCCCCCTCGAGTGTAGGACTTTGCTTTGCTACTTTATTCACTCTCTTGGCGTGTCACGACGAGGCACATTGTGCGGGAAGAAGAGGAACACCATGACAGTCAGTGCGAAGATGCACACATTTATCGTGGGTTGGTGCCACTACCATACGTGGAAGACGAGGGATGCATCCTCCCCTCCCCCTTCTCTCTGTTTGTTTCTTTCAAGTGGCCCCCATCCCACCTCACACACACACACACATGCATGCAGCGCAGTAGACTCCTTCTGGCCTTCTTTCTGTTTTTTTTTCCCCCCCTTCCTTACACGTCGCGCTAACTATCCTCTTCCGCCATCCAGAGGCAAAAAAAAAAAAAAGAGGGAGAGCGACGTCCTTCACGCACGTCACCTCCACTCAGAGGTTGTGCAGCATCGGCGCGCGTTTCATTCGTTCCACGCACTTCTCCCGCTCTCGTGCCTGCTGCAGCTGCGTCTCGAAGGACCGCACGGTTTTCAAAAACGCCGGCAACGTCCGCACCGCCTCTGTGGCACTGTCACGGTGGAGAAAGAGATGCGACTGAATTTGGGCGACACTCAACGTATGCGGAGGGATCTGCCCTGCAAACTCGACCTGCAGGGTGTCGTCGGCGGCCGGGAAGAACTTCCGGTACAGCTGCTGCGCCTGGCCGCGCGTCAGCAGCCCAATCTCCAGCTTCACGTCGCAGCGGCCGGGGCGAATGAGGGCGTCATCAAGCCGCTCCACGTGATTAGTAGTCATGAAAACCAGCCGCCCCTCCTGCGCTGCCACCCCGTCGAGGGCGTTGAGCAGCCCGCTCATCGTGATGTGGCTGTCGGCACTAAAGGCCCGGTCAATGTCCTCAAGCAGCACAATCGACCGCAATGGGGCGCTGTTCAACAACCCTACCAATGCCTCATCACTGAGTCCGCGGCTGGACAGGCTCAGCGGACAAATGGAGAGGCGCAGCTCCCCCGCCAGCGCCATCACAAAGCTGCTTTTTCCGCAGCCTGGGGGTCCGTGCAGGAGGTACCCGCGGCGGTACGGCACACCGAGGTCCTCGTAGTAGCTGCTGGACTGCAGGAAGAGCTGCACATCCTTCAGAATCTCCGCACTTGTGCCCCCGTCCAACACAACCGAGTGCAGGGGACGACGCCGTCGTGGCTCCTGTCGCGTCCACCGTCCACCAGAGTTTTGATAAATCACGGTGTGGTCACTATTTCGCATTGATGTGAGTCGACGGGCGTCCTCCACGATCTCCTTCATGACGGTGGCGGATAGTCCTATAGTGGACAGCTGCAGCGTCTCCAGCACGTCTGTCCCCATTGCCTGCGTCTCCACCCGTCGCCGTTGCAGCATCATGGGCCGGCCACTGTACCAAAACCAGTGCCGTACATTAGTGCAGGGTGCGTACAGACACTCATGCGAAGATTCGTCGTTGGAAAAGATGGTCGTGTTGCGTGTGGTGACGCTCATCTGCTGCACGTAAAGGGCCGGGTTCTGCGCCAGCCAGCGCACCATCCAAAGATAGCTCTCGTCCTGGCTGGTCACCTCCAGGGAAACGACGAAGCGACGCCGCATCGCCGTCTGCATGACCGTGGAGAAGGAGCGAGCCGCTGTCCCCGCAAAGGTGAGGAGGTAAAGCCCCGCCCCCGCGCTGAAGAACGGGTTCTGCAGCAGACCTTTCAGCGCGCGGGTGACGACGCCGCCGTTTTCCCCCCATCCCTCCGGCAGCAATGCGGTAATCTCGGAGATGCGGGCGTCCGCGTCCGCGCCAGCGGCGGGTGGCGGTAAGGCAGCCGCGAGTGGATTCATCGCAGCTACTCGGTGTCCGTCAGTAACAGCAATAGCAGCGTCCACAGCCACGCCCTAGTCTTCACTTCGTGAAAATATCCACCGCTTTATTACGTCTTGCTTTAAAAAAAAGAAAAATAATGTCTCCCCACTACCCCCCCCCCCCAACTTTTTTTTTCTTCTTCTGCTTCTGCCCAGTTCACACGGGTGAGCGAGGCGAAGAAGTGAGGGGTATGGGAATAAATGACGGCGCCCCTCCCAGTTATCGACAACAAACAAACAGTCAAGAAAAGAAAACAGACGGAGAAGCAGCAAAGGAGGGACACAAATAAACGGCGGAAGGATCTTGCGGCAGGAAACATCGTCCCCGCCCCAGTCACCCACTGTGGCCGGCAACTGCAGCTCGCAGGAAGCAGGAGGCGCACATGAGGGAAAGTAGGCGGAGCGCAACCACGCGTCTATTGTTTTTCTTCTCTCTTCCTTCTCATTCGTACGCCTCTTTGCGTAATCTACATGCAGGCGCCTGCCTGAGGGGTCTTTCCATACCTGCGAGCAGGATATGACAGGCAACACACAGAAAAAAAAAAAGAACTAAAAACAAAAACAAGGCCCACCCACCACCAACAAACAACGCGCCCCGTAGAACGCGGAAGAAGCGGCATACAAAGAAGAATTTAACTGCGATATCCTCCTCTCTCTTGCTCTGCCTCCGCTCTACCGCTGCAACGTCCCATCACTTGCAGAGGCGGAAACGGGTTTCATACATTTGAGTCGCTCCATCACCACCCGTCGGGCCATGTTGCCGTGCTGAAAGCATGACGTCTCCGATGTGCCTTCCACCGTGTTGTTGTTGTTGTCGTTGTCATCGTCGTCCGGCGGAGCATCTTCGTTGAACCCGGTGGTCGTCGGCCGCTTTCGAGAGGACCGGCTCGTGGAAAAAAGTGCGGGGAACCACACATGTGTGAAGGCCGCGGCAACCATTGGAAGTTCATCGAAGAAGCGGGTAAACTCCTTTAGGTTGATGTGCGAGCGGCGCATCATGTGCAGCGGAACAGCGGATTTTTGGTGTGGAAGCAGCGCAGCCGCCTTGGTAGCCTTCGCACGGCGCTTTCCTTTCGTCTGTGAGCGTAGGTACTCCGCCTCCTCTTCCTGTAACATAATCTCCAGCGCATCACCAAGTGCCTTCACGATGGAAGGTGTCACCGTCGCGCCCTTCTCCTCGCAGGCCTCGCGACGCACGAGGCGCAGGGTTCTCAGGGTTACCCTGTGTATAAACCCGTCGCTCTCCAGCACATCAAAGCAGAGTGACCGCACCGCGTCGCGCAGCTCAGGGCCGTTGATGACGGCATCTATCGCAGCCAGTACTTCACGTGCACGGACCACTGAAGGAGGAGCACACTCCGTCACAGCGACAGGGCCTCCGCCGCCGCCGCCGGTTGGGGTCACAGGCGCAGCGGGAATCTTCGACGTATGCGGGGTAAGAAGGGTGCGGCGGTGAATGGATTGACTCGCACCCAGACCCTGTGCCAAGCGACGCCCACTTGTCAGCAACGTTGCAGTGCTCGTTAGGGAAGTGGGATGTCCTAATCCCCCAGGTGAGCCTGTTGGCCCTGCCGTTGACATGCGCTGAGACGTACCCTGCTGTAGCACGCGTGGGGCAACGATGCTGGCGCTGTTGGATATATCAAGACGGCGTTCTGTTTCACTATCCCCGGTTTCCACCGCCGTAGATGAAGCTCGCACAAGGAGGAAAAATGACTCAATGGCCTCCACATCGTGCACGTCAAACGGCGCACGCTTAAGTGCCGCAGCAAGGGCGTCGCACGTAACAAGGCCTCTGTCATCGGAAGCCTCCAACAGTGCAACCAGCAGAATACGGAGATTTACCGCTGGCGCCCCCTCCTTTGGCTTTACCTCTACTTTCCCTCGCAGCTTCTTTTTGCCAATAGTCTTTGGGCCTCGCTGCGCTGTGAGTCTCTGCGAGCCTGGAGACTCGCCGGCAAAGAAGGAGAGTTGCGCTGCAGCCAGTACGGATTGCCGCCGTTGGACCTCTGCTTCTTCCGCCTCCTTCTTGCGTTGCAGCGCGGAGGGGTGCATTCGGTAGTAGCACGCAATGAAAGACTCCTCCACGTCATTCAGCGCCACATGGCGGGCGCACAAAGACCCAGTTGAAGGCCAGGCCGATGCGTTTGCCGTGGCGGAAACGCCTGCCTGGGGCGGACGAAAGAGCGTGGCGTAATAGTCGCTCATCGACACGTGCTGCGACAGAAGTGTCTGCCGTTCTCTCAGTTCCGTGGCGCGCTTCACCTCTTGCAGCTGCCGGAGGACTCGGTCTTGGCGGTCCTCCTGCGCCGCACAACGCAGCCGCTCGAACTGCGGGCAAGGTGTGATGCGTGACGCCAGGCACTCCCTGTTCCCGCCTCCCTCATTAGGGAGAGGGGGGCAGTCGCTCGGCGGCACGGTGGTCTTCGGCGGCACCTTCCCAACAACGGGACTGACGACATTCGCCACGCTGCCCCGCTGAAACACCCGCGCCCGCGCGTTGTCCTGCGCGTTTGCCGCCACCGCCAAACGGATGGGGTCGCTACTCATTTTTTGGTTTTATTTTTTCCTATAAAAATCTTACGCCCGCCGCTATCGCGTCTGTGTGGCTTCTCACTCTGCCTGAGTGCTCCTCCACGCCAGCTGTCTTGGAAGTGCGCCACGAGCCGCCACCCACACCGCAGCAAGAAAAAAACAAAAACAAGGCAAATCAAAGTAAGAGTGGCATGGAGTCAATAGAGAAGCACGCACCGTTCCCCAAAACGATGAGGCTGACAGGAAAAACAAAAAAAAACAATGTGCTTACGTCCCTTCAAATGTCTTCCTTTGTTTTATCACTCTCATTTCGTCTGTATGTGTGTGGGCTTACCACCGCCCCAGAAAGGCGTGAATATCCCTCCCTTCCTAACCAACTCTCACTCACGTGCGAACACGTACGGAAAGGGGTGTGGAGAATGGAGATTTGTGTGGCGCTACTCCTCCACGACGTGCTGCTCACCCGTTAAGCCACAGTACTGCCACTCCCGCTTGCTTAGGCGACACATTGCGCACAGCAGCTGATCCTTCCGCGGCCTCCGGCTCTGCGACCTCGGCTCCCCCGCCGCTGTAGTCTGCGACAAGCGCCACGGGGACGGTGACGGCATCACCAGGTCGCGGCGGCGCCAAACCACCCGCACCACCGCGGCGGTGTCTTCAGAACACTGCAGCAGACGACGGCGCAGCGCCACTGTGACGGTGGTGTCCTTGTGAGGGGCACCTTGGGGCTGCCGTACTCCCGCCATGCCACGTCACCTGCACTCGCCTCGCCGCAGAGAGGAAAGAAAGGAGGAGACAAGAAGAGGGAGAGAGGGAATTGACGGATTGGGGTGGTGGTGGGGGGACGTCGAT